TGAATTTTATTATTTCTTCAAGGTTCTTCACATACGTACACCTTAAGAGATATCAAGTAGGTGTAACACGTTCTCAAAAAATTAGGGTTGGCACGCAGAAGAATTTTGACCAGAGATTTTGCTGGTTTTGGCACGCACTCACAAAAAGGTTGCCCACCCCTGGACTAGAGCTCCATTTCTTCTGGTATGTGGTTTTTGCTAATGAGAAACCTGATTATAAGGTAGCCTACATTACTCTGTAAATAGCCTCTGTTTTGTTTCTTCCCCCTCTCAGGAAGCTTTTGGAATTTTATATTCTTAAAGTTATGAAATTTTACCAGAACTTATCTCCGTGGCTCCTTTTTTAAAAAAATATTTTTTATTTCAGAGAGGACGGGGAAGGAGGGAGGGAGAGAGATAGAAACATCAATGATGAGAGAGAACTGTGACCTCCTGGTTCATAGGTCAGTGCTCAACCAAGAGCCATGTCAGCGGGGCCCCATGGCTCTTTTTGCCTGAAGATATATTTCTTTAGTTTAGGGATATTTTCTTTTATTCTGTATTTATACCTCTTTTGACTTCTCTCACATCCTGGAACTTTTCCTAGACAGATGGTTAGCCTTCTGAGTCTGTCTGTAGATTGACTTTATGTTCTGAATTTGGGGATATTCTATCCGTTTATCTTGTGCATCAGCAACCAGGTCTTCAGCAAGGTCAGTTTTATTATTCTCTTCATCCCGAGTTTTTATTTCAGAGTTTATCATTTAAGTGTTTAACCTCTTTATTTTTTTTATTTTCTTTGTATAGCATTTTATTATTTTATAGGTGTTCATAAATCTGTTCGATAATTTGTATTATGGATTTTTTTGTATCAGTTTTGACACATTGCACATAATTTTTCAAGAAAATCGATTTCAAATATAATAATATTACATGTAATAAACATTAATATTTCAAGAAAAAAGATTTTAAATATAATAGAAGTAATCCTGTTATTTATAGATTTTTGATATTTCCTAACTTTTATAATATTATACTATGTTAGTACAGTTTTGGTAATATTATATTTAAAATCTGTATTACGGTTTTTAAAGTATACTTTTTTCTGTCTTGAACTATATGTTATCCATGATCATTTCTATTGGCCTTTTTTCTCTTATGCTATTAGTTTTCTTCAAATGTTTAGTGATGCATTATTCTGTATTAATATTTATGAGTGAAAAACTACATATGTTGGTCATTTTAAATAGCAATTTGCAAATTGTGAAAGTCGATTTCATCCACAGCTATCCTTCTCAGGAAACAAGAACAATTGGCACTAGCATATTCTCTGTTTTGTATCACCTCTGTTTCTGAGCCCATATTCCCGCCCGCCCCCCCACCCCCCCTTGCTCTTGCTGCTTTGTGTGCCACTCCCAGTTCTCTGCTTGGGAATCCCTTTGCCTCTGGTCACTGGAGGATGGCAGGGCCAGTGAAGGATAGGAAGGAAGGAAGGACCAGAAACCTGAGTGGGCGGGAGAATGTAGTTTAGGATTCCGCAGCTGTGCAGAAGGGGGAGGTTTGACATGCGCCCCCTTGTGGTTTAGTGGTGCTGCTCATGCTGGTGGATGATTGGAGGATGATAGCAATGCTTGAGAAAGCCTTATCTCTTTTTCTCATGTGATTAATTTACAATGGGTATTTTTCTGGTGTTTTTGATTTTATATTTATAATTTTCTATATATTCAAAAGTTATGCTCATATTCTGCATGTTTAAAAGTTACGCGAATATGCTATTTTTGCATTGTCCACTTGAACTTACCCAAAATTGATGTGAAAAAATAGTGATTAGTCGGTTTATTGGATGAAAGGGATGGCTTTTTATTTTTTAAACAATTTTCTTAAGTGAAATGTTTTCTTAATTCATTTGACTTAATTATATATATGGCAGCCAGAAGGCAAATACAGATAACTAGAGAAATCATGTGAAATGGCAGCTACATGAGCATTGGGATACTGATCGTATTTCTTTGGTTTGTTTATTATGACAGAGAAAGGCATTTGAAGAAGAAAGAGCCAGCTGGTTAAAGCAACAGTTCTTAAATATGACTACTTTTGACCACCAGAATTCAGAAAATGTGAGACTCTTCAGTGCCTTCTCAGGAAGTGAGTATTTCATAAGCTCTTTAATCTGAAAATGCATGTAAAAAGTACTGTAAATTATTAATATGAAACTTTGGAGAGCACCAGTAAGAGCTTCCTAACTAAAACTAATAAATCAACTTTAACATTTTATTTACTGAGTCAAATGGGAATGACAGGAGGGCTGTGCATTCCAAAGACAACTTTTGTGTATAATAATGTCAAGTTTTTGAAAATTTACTACAAACAAATATTTTTAAAACAATCCTTTTAAATGTTTGTGACAAAGATTACGGGATGAGCTAGACTCTCGTTCTGTCTCACACCTTACTCAGAACTACAAATAATTCATCACAGTTAACCACCTTCACTATATTGCCTTTTTTTGCCCCACAGGTTCTGACCGGGACAATCTTACAGTGCACTCAAGACCACGACAGAAGCCCTATAGGGTGTCTAATGGGTCTCCAGTTTGTACCTCTAAACTCACAAAATCTCTTCCTGCTTCTCCTTCAACTACAGACTTTTGCCAGACGCGTTCCTGTGTATCTGAACATAGGTATTGGTCTATAGGTCATCTCCTCACATATACATAACATCGCTAGAGTTGCATTGCTGAGGAAAAGTTGGCATGTTTGTAGTATTAGCAACAGTAGAGGCTTTGGAGAGGAATTCAGTAGATGGACTCATTCATTATGCAAATATTTATTGAGTATCCATTATCTATAGGCAACTATTAAGCAGCAGGCATACAGTTGTGAATAAGGCATATACAGTCCCTGACTTCTGGGAGCTAAATGATATAATGTGGTTCCTTTTATTTCACATCTAAAATACAATTTAAAATTTAAATACAATTTATGTACAGGAATCACAATATTTTAAGTACTTAATTTTATTAACTATAAGGTCATTGTTTGATAGTTTTTGTAGAGCACATATTTAGAGTTCCTTTTCTATGCCCGTTCCATTGGTGTTGAAGGGCAGAGCACCACTCATCCTCATCCTGCCTGGTAAAGCGGATCAGTACCCAGGATGATGGGGTCGAACAGCTGTCCCCGTCCCAGGAAACCCACATACTGCTATTAACTGCTGCATTTTGGGATAGCCCTCTGTCTAAGGTTGTTAAATTCATTTTCTGAGCTATAATACCAATTCTTTAGCTCGCAACCTATTCCAAGATTAGCTTTCAACTAAGCAGCTAGACCATTGCTAGTGCTGCAGAGGAGCAGAAAGGAGCTGTGGGCTGCGTGGGAAAGTGTGCCGGCGATCGCTGTCCTCTGGAAGGAGACAGTGGCCCAGGGCCTGCCAGTCTGGCAGGCGCCTTAAGAAGCCTGCAGCCCCGCAGCACACTGGCCTGTGGTAGTGAGAGGTTTGCATGGAGCGAAGTGCTGAAGAAGGCAGGAGCCCTTGAAACAAGAATGTTAAATAGATGAATTTTAAAACAAAAAAATGAAGCATTTAAAAGGACAAAACACTCTAACTTAAAGTCGACTTTTGAAAGGATTAGGACTCTAAGTAAATATTGGGGCAAAGAAGAGCTGAGGGCCCTCCCGGCAAGTGTAACGACCCTGAGGTGAGGACACTAGTGTTTGTGGATGTGAGTGTAGTTAGCAAACAAGACCAGGAGGTGGAGGGGAGGGGTCATATCATTTAAGGCCCTGGGTGAGTAGATTGGGATTAAAATGTTACTATGTATAAATTCAAATATATATATAAACTAAAGGCCCGGTGCATTTATGCATTTAGTGGGGGGTCGGAGGGCCCTCAGCCTGGCCTGCGCCCTTTCGGGCAGGGCATATGCCTGGGTTTCGGACTTGATCCCTAGTTTGGAGTGTGCAGGAGGCAGCTGATCAGTGATTCTCTCTTATCATTGATGTTTCTCTATTTCCCTCTCTCCCTTTCTCTCTGAAATCAATAAAAAATATATTAAAAAGTCGTTTAGTCTGTATTTGTAGGTCAGATATTCTAAGGGCAATGCAAAAGCATTAGAGACTTTTAAGCAGGAGAGTGAAAAAAAATTAAGTTTTAAGAATATTACTCCATATTATGTAGGAAACATTCTCAGAGTCAGTGATATAAGCTGGGAGACTCAGTTAGGAGGCATTAGTGGAGCAGAGGTGAGAGACGATGGTAATGTGGAACGAGTGTCAGAACATGAAGGTTGAAATGTTTGGATTTAGGATATATTTTGCAGTTAGAGCCAAAAGACTGAGTGATGGGTTGGCTATGGGCAGTGAATGTTTATTTAATTTATAATAAAAATAATGTAAGCTTAGAGTATTTTCTTACATAGAATGTTATTGAAACATTGGCATTTGACCAATCAGAACTATACATATAAATTTAGACATAAATTCTAGTTACCACTTACAAATAATACCTTTTGTATCTAAAAGAGAACATAGGATAGTTGCCCCAATTGTTTTTACATATTTTAAATTTTTACCTTTTATATAACTTTTTTTAGTTGTGAAATATTTGACAAAAATATTTCTTGAAGACATTGTTTTATGTTTAATAAAAGTCCAATATTTAGTACCTACACTATAGGGCAGTGATGGCGAACCTATGACACGGTGTCGAAGGTGACACACGAACTCATTTTTGGTTGATTTTTCTTTGTTAAATGGCATTTAAATATATAAAATAAATATCAAAAATATAAGTCTTTGTTTTACTATGGTTGCAAATATCAAAAAATTTCTATATGTGACACGGCACCAGAGTTAAGTTAGGGTTTTTCAAAATGCTGGCATGCTGAGCTCAAAAGGTTCGCCATCACTGTCATAGGGTGTTGTGAAGTTAAGTGTCAATATTTGTTAAAGCACTTAAAACAGTACTTGGTCCATTGTAAACCTTTAGGAACAGGCCATAAAAATAAAAATAAATGTAAACATAAAAAGATTATAAAAAGACTTTTCTGTTTCTTGTACTCCAAGGTTTTACACTATATGACATCAATCACATAGAAACAGAATTTTGAACTTAAATTCCATTAAGCTATTCATAGTTACTGGCCTGGGAGGAAAAAACATAGGAGAGAGTTGTGTAAATGGCTATCAGTTGCAGCTTGATGTAGTTCTTGAAATTTTATATTAGGTGGTAAATTTGTGTTTTTGCTCCTGAAGCACCTTGGATCTGGGTTTTGTAATAAATAAGGTTACAGCAAAGTAATTAGGAGTATTTGCAGCATCCTCATTGCTCCTTCACTACAGGATGGAATTTTACATAAAGGCTGTGCCTGAGTTCCATGCAAAGTAGCTCTGTATTAAGTTGGAGATTTCAGTTGATCATTGACCTTATCTGAGATGGCAGGGCTTCTGAGGGCTGAATTATATGCAAGTTACTTTTTTTGTTGTTTAATATATTTTATTGATTTTTACAGAGAGGAAGAGAGGGGTAGAGAGTTAGAAACATCGATGAGAGAGAAACATTGATCACCTCTGCCTCCTGCACGGGACTCTTGGGAATCGAGCCTGAAACCCAGGTTACATGCCCTTGACCGGAATCGAATCCAGGACCATTCTTCAGTCCGCGGGTCGCTGCTCTATCCACTGAGCCAAACCGATTAGGGCCACAAGCTACTTTTTTTAAAAAGCAATTTTAATTATGTTTTTTATTTCACTTTTTATTATTAAAGCAACTTAATTTTTTTTAAGTTTGCCACATTCTAAGATCGAGTTGGTAAACCAAAGTCAGAAAATATAAACATGTAGGAAAAAAGTTTTTGTGAAAAAAAAATTACATAAGATACTCACTTGATAAAAATGTATTGTTCTTTGGTTCAACCCCGTAGATTTGAAAGTGATCAGTTAACTAGATGTGTTTGATTTGAGGCTGGTTGCAGAGTATATCTTTCAGATTGTATTGCTGAAGGTGGAAGCTGTGTCTGTGTTCAGACACTAAGGTTGTTGTTGCCTGACAGTTAATTGAGTACTGTTTGTTACGTGCTTAGTGCATGCTAACTCATTTAGTTCTTACCCAATCCAATGAGAAAGGTTGTGTTATTATGTCTGTTGTACAACAGAGGAAGCTGAAGAACAGGGAGGTTTAACTTGCCAGCTCGGGTATGGACTGGACTCTTAACACCTGTGTAGGTACTTGTTAAGGATCTGTGTGGGTGAATGAATGGGTGGTTGAAACCATGCTTGAACAAATGGGCAAGTACTGAAAGAAACCACAGAGAGATTAGAAAATAGTGACAGAAAGATGGGGATATGGGAGACACTGGCTTTCAAAACCCACATGTTCTCTGTCTACCTTGGGCTTTAGTTGGGCAGTGTGCTTTAGAGTTAGATTAAAGAGATAAATAAAATAGAGGATTGGATAAAAGTGAGTAATTAGGCCATTTTGGAAGACTTCTTTGTTCTTCTTGATCAGTATGTCCTCAAAATTTACTCCATGGGACAAGGAATCAGCCAGCCTTTCGACATTAAGGCATATCAGAAACACAGGAGGAGGTGATTATTAAGATCTACGTTTCTTTCCCCCTACAGTTCAATCAATGTGCTGAATATGACTCCAGAAGAGACTAGACCAAATCAGGTTGGAGGAGAATGTGCAAATCAGAAATGGAGCGTGGCATCGAGACCCGGGTCACAGGAAGGTTGCTGTAGTGAGTGCTCCTGGACCTCCACAAATTCTCATGTAGAAAAAGATGGTTTGCCTTAGTCATGTGGACTGGGACTTTTTTCATTAATATGTACATCAAATTGCACATCTAAATTGAAACAGGGTGTGTCATAAAGTCGGTCATCTCTAATAATTTAAGGTGGTCTGAGTTGTTTGTTTGGACTTCCTATTTTTCCCCCAAAGAACTAAAATGTTAAATCTATTTAAAAGGATATAAAGGTTTGGATATGTATTTTTAGTAACAGAAGCATCTGGTTCTGTGAATAAAGGAATGTATAGCTGTTTGGATGGAAACAAAAGCACTAGAGTGAGTTTCCTCTTATAGGTATTAAAAATAGCACTTTTAGTAAATGGACTGTTGTAAATGTTTAATTTTGTCCCATATATAGTTGGCATTGAGAGTTTAGCCTTTACTTGAATGTATACTGTAGATTTTTAACAAAGCAAGTTCTATATTTATTATGTTTAGTGTGATTTGAAATTTGTTCTTTAATGTTTTAAATAAAGTGAAATTTATGTATGTTTTGTACATAGATATACATGATTATGTTAAGAGGCTTTAAGATCGAAAAGTTTTACACACCCATAATTATAGTATTTCATGCCAATAAAATTTTTATTAGTGGGATTTTGTTTACAAGTGTATTAGAGACATTGCCACATTACGCTTAAGAATTTTTTGAACTCATTAGAGCAATAAATACTTAAAAGGTATTCCATGAAGCTAGTTCTTTAGATAATTAACATTACATACATTTTTGAGACTTCTACAGCATTTGATTTTTTTAAAAATATATGTAGGATATAATTTTTCAAAGAAGTATTGATTATAGAGTAATAGAGGCAAGACAACAAAAGTACCTTTGAATAAAGCAATTTAAGACTATTGGCTCCAGATATTTGGATAATAGGAGATGTTAAGATATTTAAGATGCTTGGATGCTGATATTTTCTTTACTAGATGGGTACCAGTGCTACACCAGCTGTACCAGCTAAGGCTGTGTATGGTTGTCAATAATTTTTCAATGATGCCACTAATGTTAAGGAATTCTGACAATATACAAACATCAAATTTTATAATCCAGATGTTTTCTGGACAGACTAGTGTCATGTCATTTTCAGAACTGATTGCATGTTTCTTCATATATATTGTTATTGATAGTAGTAATAATAATACATGCAGACCTAGGCTCTTTCCAGGATTCTCATCAAAAGTTTAAGTGCCTAACCTTATTTGTCTGTACATAGAAACCGGCACAGATCCCATCCTTGCTAGATATTGTAGTTTAGGCCCATTTCTAGCAGTTCAAACACATGTACTCACCCTGTATGGCTGTTCCATTTAAATTTGTCATGTTTAAAACACAAAGTATTTTTGTCATTCATTCACTATATCTTATATATATATATATATATATATATTCACAACTCTTTGGAATTGTGTCACAGCAGCCATTTTTTTCTGGGTTAATAGAATAACATCGAGTATCTTACAAGATTTATGTATCTACTTATGAGAAAGTAACCACATACTTACAGTCTCAAAAAATCTAGCTCTTGCCCTGGCTGGTGTGGCTCAGTTGGTTGAGCATCTTCCCATGCCAGTTCTATCCCTGGTCAGGGCATATGCCCAAGTTGTGGGCTCCATGCCCAGTAGGGGGTGTGCAAGAGGCATATGGTAGATGGTTCTTTGTCATCAATGTTTCTTACTCTTCCTTCTCTCTAAAAGTCAATAAACTATTCTTAAAAAAATCTAGCTCTTGAACAAAAGTAAATTAGTCACTCACTCCCTTTAGTTTGATGCATGGTCATTTCTTTATCATTTAAAACACTAAAAATGATACATTTCAGAAACAGTACCATATTCCAAAGGAAACAATGGTTGGGATATAGTTCTTTTGCCATTGAGCAATAATGACATCAAAGAAGAGCAATCAAATTTTTAGTCAATGATGTATTTGTCAAGAATTCCCCCCCTCCCCAAGGGTTTCCATGTTACACTTTGCCAAAAATAAACATTCTAATTTTTGTAGTAACTCTTACTTCAGGGAGTATTGCATTCCATGACAATGGATTGCTACAAAGCAGCATCTGTTTTATTTTGTTTCCATTTCAAAATTGGTTGAATTCTCATATTGAAAAAAAAAAATTCCTTAAGACTTACCTTAGCCCTGGACGGTTTGGCTCACTGGATCGAGCGTCGGCCTGGGGACTGAGGGGTCCCAGGTTCAATTCCGGACAAGGGCATGTACCTTGGTTGCAGGCACATCCCCAGTAGGGAATGTGCAGGAGGCAGCTGGTCGATGCTTCTCTCTCATTGATGTTTCTAACTCTCTATCCCTTTCCCTTCCTCTCTGTAAAAAATCAATAAAATATGTATTTTTTTAAAAAGACCTTAAAAACTAAGGTATGCAAGAAACGGTATAATGAAAGCCAGGTTCACTGTACTTGGATAAAAGCATAGATCTGCTAGAAGTTGTGTTTTGCTTAATAGTGTTAATTTTGCTGTACTCCACATTCCAACTCCAGAATGATTCCCAGTCACACTAAACTTCACAGGATGTGGAAGTGGCTGTCATATTGGAAAACTGATTCCACACATAAAACTCCTAGGATTTTATTTTCCTTCCTTTTCTAAGTATTTGCAATATAGTAATAATACAGCTGCACGCAGTCTGAGGTTCACCATGATTGGACAATGGTTCTACAGTATACTTCAGCATGAAATGTTTTCTTGTTTACCAATATGTAAACCTGAAATATTTTGCGCCTGAAGTTTTTTACATGGCATATCCATTTTGAAATTTTAAAGCATAAAAGTGGCAAAGAAAATTTAAGAGAAAAACTTTATTTCCTACTCTTAAATTTTTGTATCTTCAATTTATGATGAGAAATTTAACGGAAGAACCATGCCAGAAAATTCAAGATTAAAATTTAACTTAATAAATATTTTCTTGTAGAAGCAATGTATTAAATGTTTACATTCGTAGAACAGTACATATTAAATTATTTTCCTTGTAATACTGCTAAAATACTATAGTTACTTAGAGTTCCATGTTGCCTACTTATTGGACTTGTTGGTAAGCTTGATTTCTGTGGGGAACTGTATTCTACGGTGCATGGTGAGAAGAAGAGCCCTGGAATCCAGTCATGGCCTCCCCTGGTGGGTGGAGCAGGAGAGGTTTTGCAGCGTGGACTCCCCAAGCCCTATGAGTTAGCTGGCCCCTTGGGTGAGTGCCCCGTTGAAAAAATTTATGTTGCTCAATGTAAATCATGCTCTTTTTTCTAAATAGGATTTAAAATAAGGATGGGTCATGGAAGCCTAGTATATACCCTTTTCCAGGTGTTTGTCTTAAATTTTTTTGTCAATCTCATGATAAGCATTTATGAAGTACCTGCTGATGTCAGGACCTATTTCTACATCCCAGTCTGTGGGGATCGGCAGACAGATAAGCACACTCCCTGCCACTGAGAATCTGGGAGTTGGGTGGAAGACTAGCTATAGAAACCGAAGTTGTAAGAACAATGACAAATGCCCTTCAGACATTTCCTGTTAACAAAACATGGACTGATGGTTCTGCTCCGGGACTTACATAACAGGGATCTGGCTAGGCTTCCATTCCAGTTAGTCCTGGCGTTATTTCCTATGGGAAGTACTACGGAATTGATATGTTACTGTTTTGTTTTGCTTTTTCAACAAAATTTTGACCTGCAAAGCAGTGTAAGATTTTCGGCCCACAAAAACATGTTTTGTTATCTATAAAGGTTTGGGCCATGTAGATAAGGATAATGAAATAAGTTATTCTAGTCATTTTCTAAATACAGTGTTTTTTCAGGCTAGATGTAAAAGTGGAGTGGACTGTTGATAAAACGTTTATTTTCAGAAATTTTGACAATCTTGGTCCCTGGCATATGTCACCAGTTTGGCAAAAATAAACAAAATTCTCTACCAAAAAAATAAAAAATTGCTTGATTTATATAAAAACTTCCACCTGGCTGGTTAAGAGTTAAAAAATTTTTTTCACATTTACAAATAACTAATTCTGGGGTCTTATGAGTTATTGTAATGCCAGTGATACATAAAGATCTGCAACTTTCATATATTTTATGTTCAGAAATAATTATACCCAGTATGATGCTTAACACACAGGAAATACATAATATTTGTTGATAAGAAATATAAAATGCTAATGAAACAAATAGCAAGTCACTTTATTGGCATAAACAGGCTATAAATGTCAGGTTAAAACCCTAACTTTTCTCAGGAGAGTAGGACCTTGTGGAGTATATTTCCAACCCTATGTAGCTTGGTTTCCTCCACAGAGTTTTAGGATAGATTAGGCCATGGTACAAATAAACACAAAACTGGTGTGGCTCAATAAAAATTTAATTCTTGTTCATGAAATGCTCAATATGGATTGGGAAGTCTTCCGCCCTCATTATGACACCTGGAACACGTGACCCCAACATCGTCAAAGTGGGGGAGGAACCAGCGGGCACATGGAGTTGGATGTCAGGCCCTGACCTGAAGAGACATGGTTCCCACCTCCATTGCTTCACTAAGAACGTGGGCCTGTGGGCCCCACCTAACCACAAACAACACTGGGAGGGAAAACAGCTACTTGGTGACCAATGACAGCGTTAACACGTTGTAGTTGATGCCTGATATTTCATCCATTCAGTGACTTATTTAAAAAAACAAAAGAAAAACAACAGTAAAACATAGCACTCTGTGCAAGGGATTTATTGCTTATTAAAGGCTTCAAATATTTTTAATTTTTATAAGGAATGTAAGACTCCTTTACCTTCTCTAACCTTTTCATAATTTCAAAATATTTTACAGTGCATAAACACACATTTCCTTTTGATCCAATAACTGTGAGAGATTATTAACTGATTTTAGAGCTGGTAACAGACTTCAGATGTTGTGATGAATCCAAAGTCACATAGCTAGTAAATGATAAAACAGCAGAACTTACAGCCCCAGGCCTGATTTCTAAATTTCCGATGTGGTCCAGACTGCTACAGTGCTTTTTGGAATGTTTTTTCAAGTGAAATTGCTCCATTCTTAACCCCTCATCTGCCACCCTATCATTTACACCAAAGGTATTCATCATGTGGTCCATGTGTAAGACTCAGCCTTGTTTTGTGATGGTTACTATGGCAATTTTATTCAGAATTGGACCTAATCCTGTCAAAATTAGGACATTAAGGCTCTCATTGAAATACTAGTTTAGTAGTAAATAATACTCTAAAGGTCACTGAATGATCCAAGATACACCCGGACAGCCTGCTTTTTCTGCCTCGGCAAGGTTAGTGTGTCACTGTGGCCCTCCATGACTACAGTCACAGTGACCACTTTGTTATGTCCAAAGGTCCAGCAGCTTTCTATAGCTATTTCACCTTCCAACAACTCCCTAGGTAGGAGCTATGATTATACTTACTGTACAGATGAGAAAACTGAAGCAAAGAAAGGTAAAGGAACTTGTCCAGTGTCACACAGCTAATATGTGATGGAGCTGGCTTTTGAACACAGGAATTGTATGAAAATTATGGTGTGTGTTCTCTCCTTAATATGTTAGACATCTATTTAATAGCAACACAAATGGCCTTACATCTATAGCTTTCCCTGATTCTGTAAGCAGGCAGTCACCTCTCTTCTCTCAGAATTGAACTGTGGCAAGCCAGCAAGGACATGGCATACTCAGCCCCAA